CACCGCAGAGAGGAGTGACAACACCGTGAGGAGGGGGTGACACTGCGAGGGATTGCCATCACCCCGAGAGGGTGATGATATTGTGAAGAGGGAGTTGACAACACCAGAAAGGGGAGGGTGACGGTGTGAGGGGGTAGATGACACTGAAAAGGGGAATGACAACACTGTGGGGGCGGGGTGACACTGCAAGGAAGGGGACGGTGACACCGCGGGCACCCCAGCAACACACGGTGACCCCCGCCGCACAGGCGCTGCGGGAGAAGGAGCTGGGCAACACCGCCTACCGCCGCAAGGGCTTCGAGACAGCCCTGGGCCACTACAGCCGCGCGCGGGAGCTGGACCCTGACAACATGACCTACATCGCCAACCAGGCCGGTGCGTCACCGCGGCGGCCGGGGAGGGGGGGACGCACACCGCGACGCGGGTGACACTGCTCACCGCCTACCACCGCGCTACAGCCGTGCACTTCGAGAAGGGCGAGTACCAGCGGTGTCGCGAGCTGTGTGAGGAGGCCATCGCGGTGGGGCGCGAGAACCGCGAGGACTACAGGCAGATCGCCAAGTGAGTCGCGGTGTCATCACACCCCACCGGGGTGATGGTCGTGGGACAACCCCCTCCATGTGTTCCTACATCCCGCCACATACACCCCCCACAGGGTGTACGCGCGCGTGGGGAACTCGTACCTGAAGGAGGAGCGGTACCAGGAGGCCATACAGTCGTACAACAAGTCGCTGACCGAGCACCGCACGCCCGAGGTGCTCAAGAAGTGTCAGCAGGTGAGCGGTGGTTGCCGGGGGGGGATGTTGCGGGGGATTGGGGACCCCGGGGACATCCCCCTACCGCCATCGCCAACAGGCGCTGAAGGAGCAGCAGCGCCTGGCGTACATCGACCCCGAGCTGGCGCTGCAGGAGAAGACCAAGGGCAACGAGTGTTTCCAGAAGGGTGAGCGGCTGTAGCGGCACGGAGGGGTGTCCCGGCAACAGCCGGACTCGCCGTGACCGCCCCCCCACACACACACACAGGCGACTACCCCCGCGCCATGAAGCACTACACCGAGGCCATCAGGCGCAACCCTGAGGACGCCAAGCTGTACAGCAACCGCGCCGCCTGTTACACCAAACTACTGGAGTTCCAGCTGGCGCTGAAGGTGCCGCCGGGTGTTCTGGGGGGTGATTCCGGGCTGCTCCTGCCTGACGGCAGCGGGTGACACAGCGGGTGTTGCGTTCACCCCTCGCCCTAACAGTCGCTGTCCGCAGGACTGTGAGGAGTGTATCCGGCTCGACCCCTCCTTCAGTAAGTGCGAGCCCCCCTGCTTGACACGTTCCCCCCCACGGTGTCACCCACTCCGCTCACAGCCGCCGCCGCCTGTTGTCAGTAAAGGGCTACACCCGGAAAGCAGCGGCGCTGGAGGCCATGAAGGACTACACCAAAGCCATGGACGTCTACCAGAAAGCCCTGGACCTCGACAGCACCTGTAAGGTGAGCAGTGGTTCCCGCACAGGTGGCACCCGCTACAGCCGACGCAA